TCTTACCATGACTTGATACAAACACATGGTCTTACCATGACTTGATACCAAACACATGGTCTTACCATGACTTGATACCAAACACATGGTCTTACCATGACTTGATACAAACACATGGTCTTACCATGACTTGATACAAACACATGGTCTTACCATGACTTGATACAAACACATGGTCATACCATGACTTGATACAAACACATGGTCATACCATGACTTGATACAAACACATGGTCTTACCATGACTTGATACAAACACATGGTCTTACCATGACTTGATACAAATGGTCTTACCATGACTTGATACAAACAAATGGTCTTACCATGACTTGATACAAATGATCTTACCATGACTTGATACAAATGATCTGACCATGTAGATGATTGTTTGGTTGTATGTTGTTTGCCTAACGTTTCCCAGAAGGATCAGAATACTATAGTTTATTGTATATAAACATATATTATAATGAATTTGTTGAAAGTTGTTTACCATTGTCCAGTGTCAATATTTGCAGGAAATTAAATGCAAAAAATTATTTTTACAGAAATTCAAATACAAATTAAAACTAAAAAAAGCAAAACCGACACAACATTTAAACCCTTCAATACTGTTATGTTCATGAATACAGATCCTTAAAATTAGTATTGTGAAACATGCCGAAGATCAGAAATTGTCATTTTTAATAATTTAATCCTTTGTTGATCTATATCTGTCTGTCATGGAAGTTAAGGACTGTAACATAGGGAATACATAGTTAAATGTTATATGTCACACAAAATGTGTCCGAGGCCTACTTTGATTCACATGATTCAAACCTACTTTTGTAATGAAGTTGTCTAACAAATTATACATACTTATACTTACATTAAAGATAGTACCCAAAGAAAGGTAAAATGCAGAATGAGATTAACAGTATTATTGTTTTCGTAAATTGAAGTGGCGCCCTCTCCCTTTGATATGAAAAATGATCATTTTTTTGCTTAAAATCGTCCCAAAAAATGCCCTATTTTTACTATTTTTAACAATTGGACACTGATTCCGCCGTGAATTGTATAAACTAACCACGTACTACGTACCTTGGAAGATCAAGACAACTAAAATGGAATCATAATTCATTTCAATATAAATTCCGTGCTCAAATATCCTTCTGTTTCAAATGATAAGTTATCATAAAGAGAAGAAAGAACTCTAGGAATTTGATTTTGTGACCTAGAAAAAGATAACTGGAATGGCATAACATTAGAGGGAACATGTTTTTGAATTCAACAGAATCTATACATGTTCTATAATGCACATGCGAACAATTGTTTAATGACTATTTTAACAATACCCTAAACCTAAACGCGTAGACATTGCCAGAATTTTAGAAAAGACTATTGACTACAATTAGAGAACGAAATTGCCACGCAGACTATCACACAAAGTACGATAATATATGTCGATACAACTTCCAGGGAAAAAATTGGAGACCATTGTTCGTTTCAGTATACCTCGGACTATTTCCTTATTCGATCCATCATAATTGATAAGCACATTTCTTAAATAGTGTTGCAATGACCGCAATAAATTCGTTTATTTTATTGCGGCTATAGTAAACATGGTAAATGTGAATAAAAATGTGTAGAATTCGATCCTTCATACACAACATTCCATTAATCTTATGTAAAATCTACAGATATACATTGCTGAGATAAGGCAGTCGTGATAAATTGTCACAAGTTTTTGACATTGACAGGCAAGAGAGTGCTTGAACACCACTGTGTAAAAATGCTTCGATATATAATCCTTCTTGTGCCTGCCATTTGTAAGTAAACTATTTCAAAAATATATCAACATTTAATGAATAAAATTTCAAAATAGTATGCAACAATGAAAATCTGACTTGGCTAAATATTGTACAATTGATACAAAATGAAAATTAGTCAAAATTTGATATCTTTTTGTGACCTTTTAAATTAAAATTAAAAAAAATAATGCATAAGGCCGTTGATTCTTTTCTTTTGACTTGTTTTACATTATTTCATGCCGAGTCCTTTGAAAGCTGACTATTCGGTATGGATTTTGTTCATTCTTGAAGGTCAAACTGTGACCTACAGTTGTCGTATCCTTGTCCTTTTGGTCTTAGCTGGAGAGTCATTGGCAACCATACATTTCATAATTTTTATATAAAATCCTCGTTTTCATTGCCCGTTTTTATTTTGTATTTGTTGCCAATGCATGCTTTTTATTAATTATTTTCTTTGTTTGTTTAATCACTTTATTTAGGCTTGTAGCGTTTTGTTCTAACTGTCTAATATGACGGTAGTACAAAGAAAGTTACTTCAAACAAGTCTAGGTGTATGGGAGTAAAAACAGGCACAATCCCTATGGGAAGTCAAGTTATTACAGTAGAGTGGCAATCATTTACTGAATATTTTCACTTCATTCGAGCAAGCTCAACATTGTTAATATACCGATTTTCAACATATTTTTGTCCTTCTTGTTTAGTTTTGATCGTCCTAGCGGAGGAATATGAGAGAGAAAGAAGAGGTTATCGTTGTGCAATGTTTCTAGGACATCACTGTTTTGGTGAACCGTATGACCCACAGTGTGGATCTAACAACATGACATATTATAATAGGTAAGTTATACAATACGCATTATAAAAGAACAGAATAACAAGTGTATAGTAATCTCTTATATAATTCAATGACCACTGGCAATATACAGTACACTAAGGGAACGTTCTATCACTAATGCAATTCCGTTCAAGCTCATCTCTAAACTACCAACGATGTTTGATACTAAGTTCATTTGAACCAAACAATATCTCACAACTACCAACGTATGTTTGAAGACAATTTCATTTGAACCAAACAAAATCAGTTTGCCTTCTTTTAACTAACCAACATCTCGCTGGTCTAACCATGCAACATTATCATACTCATACAGTTTCACAGTTCTATCATTAATCGATCTACAGATTGGTTGTATTTTTTTATATTTTCATTATACATGCAAGGTTTCTTCGTATATAATTGGCATTTTATCACAAAAATGTTGTAATTTGAGTTTATGATACAGTTGCCTGGCTTGCAAAATGAAATATTTTAAGTAATCTAAGACACATACAATCAGCATTTAAAAGCTCGTTTCCAATCGTTTCTAGAGAAGGGTATATAATAGATGCGTATACATGATTGTTATACTTCCCTATATAGTCAATGTTAAAGGAAACTATCGTCTTTAATAGTGCTGATTGGTTTTCTAAGGGGAGTTCGTATGAATCCCTGAGCCCGAGTTGTAGGTATGTTACCGAGTTATAAAATTTAACTTGGCCAGCTATATAAATCATAGATACTTAGGGACAGGACACTTTTTTTAGCCCTCCCCCTTTTTCCAAAATCTTTTATTTTTTGTTTTCTTTTCAAATATTATCGCGTTTTCTGTGATATATATATATATATATATTAACATAAATATACTAGAAATAACATATATTTACCATTTACTATCAATTCCTAGTTTAATATCCACATTGGTCACTCAAAATATGTATTGTATAATGCATATTGTGTTAAAAAAAACTGTATTTAAAGTAGCATGTAAAAGTAGGCGTCGAACATTCTACAGAATTTTGTCTCTTTCTTACAGATGCGACTTCGCCAAAAATCACTGCCAAGTAAGAACTATTCATCTAGCCCACAATGGCACCTGTCATGGAGAAAGTCAAGAAGGTACTCTCACCCATGGGGAATGGATCGTACTCCAGTATACATGTGAATTGCTGTTGCTGAAAGGCTGTCCTGACGATATTGCTGAGATCTGTGCTTCAAACGGAAAAACATACCTGAATGAGTATGTTTAAAAACATTATTTACACTGCACTTTAAAATACCATTGATACTCAAAAACATTAAAGAACTATGTTTTACTCTTGGACATTCTACTGCGCGAGTTTTAAATGTCCGTACAAGTGATTGTCAAGCAGTCGATCGAACCATGTGAAGTCGAGCTCGACAGCTACCTATTAATCTTTTGTGTTGGGCTATAATTTGTTTTATCGATCTGCGACAAATATTAAATTATAGATAAAAAAGAACAGAATACAATCTGCTCCAATCGTACATGTATACACATGTTTTGAAAATATATTTAAACTTTAGAAAATTACTTGGAGATTCCTGAAAACCAAAAGTCAAGTGGCAAATATTACACATTAGATAAAACCGTTTATAAACTACGAAAAATAAACTTATTGATTACATTGTTTGTTTTCATGAGTTTTCTTTACGGTGAAATTTTTTTTATAAATCAGATCAAATAAGGTAATGAAACCCCAGTTGAATTGTCCTTTAAAAACATGGAAATAAACCGGTATAAAGCAAGGACATTTCTACTCATGACAATTCTTTTTATGCCCGCTTTATACGATAAAACAAGGGATTTTTTGGGGGGTCTGACCGTCAGGCCGCCCGTCCCGTTCACGGTTAATGTTTTGGTTTAAAATACGTTAAAGTTTTTATTTAAAGTGGTTTGTGGTCATCAACTTGAAACTCAGTACACATGACCATTATGAAGTGACGCGTTTAATATGTATGCCAAATTAGATTTTTTTTCAACCAAATTTCCATTTATAGAACTACATTAAACATGTTAAAGGTTGTTTTTTTCTGAAGTTAGATGGAATAATTATTTTTGTGTATACATTGCAGATGTGAATATGAACTACAAAGATGTATGCACCCAGAGCTTACCATTCTTAAGCGAGAGGCTTGTGTAGCTTAAGTTTCATCGAACATAATAAAATGTATAAACATTGTTTAAATGTATTCATATATCTTAATACTTTCATCGTCACTGACGTAGAGATGAATCATGTCCTCTTTAGGGGGAAAATTCAAGTGTTCTATAAAATTTATCAAATATTGCATGCATGTGACATCTCTATATATACAAGAGAACTGGCACATAGGCTAAGTTTGGGACATAATAATTATGATTAAAGTTTTTACACTGATCACATTTTTTATTGTCAAATGATATTATGTACATTAAAAGCTTTTTGTAGTTCCCCCTGTAAGCTCTTTACACCGGTTAAATGTCATAGTCCTTCAACTGTACAAAGCATCTCACAACAACGACGCTCTAGGCTTGTTCTTTAAAGAGTCTATGATTCGACTTTCAAATATTTTCTTGTGCATGTAACTTCTTTGTCGCCATCATATGCAACTAGTTTCTAAAATTAATTATAAAATAAAAGAAACATAAGACATAAACAAGATTAATGGAAGTTTAATGTATTTGTGTTTTGTCATACAAACATATGGACAAATTAGAGGGTACAATTCAAAAGTTATCAACTACATCATGGTTTTCCACGAAGCTACAACCCAACTATCGTATATATATATCTATATATATATATGCCGATACTTTAACATCAAAGAATACGTGTTACATTTTTCTCTTATACGTGAGTTCTTTCGAGCACATTGATTTTGAAAGTAGTAAATCTTTATAGAATGTTCTTGAATTATGAACAAAAGGACATGCGTGCTAAACATTAATGAGACAACAGCCTTTAATCTATTGGTATCTCTATTGTAACATCTATTATAACATGCACGACATAGTCAATACTTGAAGAAACTATCCTTGCGCTTCAGTTTTTGTTTATCGCAAATATACAACAACAAAAGGCTTATAATAAAAGTCAGTCCTGCCTTTATACCTTATATCTTATAAGTGAGAAACCGCAAACAATCATACTGTTTGGTCTATCTGTCCTTTACAGTACATTACCCAATAACTTTTAAAAACTGTTATCACTAAACTATAACCGACAAATAACCTACCAGAGTCATGGTGTTGCCTTCAAATTCTCGTGATATAAGAGAATTGCAGTCTCCCTTTTGGTCAATATCTAATCTGTTACCCTCCAAGCGTGCTGTACTCTGTAACACAATATACAATGATATGATTCAAATAAAAAAGCCTGCTAAGGCCAAAGTTGTTTTGAAACTGCCAATACTTCCGATTGGACCTGGTGCATTATTTGTACCGATTATTAGGTTGTCTGCATATGGATATCGTAAAATATCAGCTGCGAGTCACATCACAATATGAAGCTTTTTGTCGAGTGAGCGCAGCGAACGAGATCAAAAAAGCTTCATATTGTGTCGAGCAGCTGAATATCAATATCAATATGCAGACATCCAGATAATCGATTTATCGGATTGTATATGCGTATTTTGCATGATAGAAACATGTGTTTTCTTTGTTTCACCAGAAAACGGGAAGATGACGTGATAAGTTCGGGGCAAACTTATCAACGTCGGTTCATATATTATGACGTCGGTGATATGTCCAGGTCAACGTTATTAAGGCCAGGTCAACGTATTTGACGCCACAAAGCCATGATATACAATTTTATTAAGAGCTGGGCAGAGTGATATAGGCAGTGGGACGACCGATAAAACAACTTATATTCCGGAACCATTTCATGCGTTATGCTATTTTTCTCATAGTTGAAGACGATATTACGATCATTGGTGTTAAAATGTCGGTTAAAAGCTCATTAGAGTTTATGTTATGTCTTTATTTGTCAGTATACTATGCCGACTCTGAATAAAGATTATTTATTAGTACTTTATTTTGATGTATGCTTTACTCCGTCACTGGGTCATTAATGCGACACAGTGTCTTTATATTCAAGCATAATGAGTCCATTAAATGGTTTTGTCTGATCTTAGATCGATCTGGTTTTGTCCTATTTTCTATTTGTTACTTTTCTATAGCTATCCAAACTTGTCTATGAGAGTTCTTGGTGAAGGTTTATTTATTGAATACTAGAAAACACGCGATTAAAAAGATTTTAACGTTCTAAGTCAGTGGCTTTCTTTTTTTCTTTCTGTCCTATTTGCTTTTTTTGTTTCCATGCCAATGTGCGACTCCTTCCTTTATTTTCTATAACTGTCGCTATATTATGTATGTGTTTGCTGTCATCATATATGTGTATTGTATGTGTAAGGAGAGGACTTTATATAAGTTGTTATAACTTGTGTCCAATCCTTTTGCTTGATCAATGCAATAAAATATTATTAAATTAACGCGATTATATCTATTTTCAATTTTCACATTGCCAACACACACAATAAGTGAACACTAACATTAAAAGAGATAAGTGAACGAATTTCGTCAAAGGCTTTTTGTTCCGTTTGTTGTATTTCATGCATTGTTGTTGTGGTGCATTACTTTTCTACACCTTTTATTGGTTTTAATCCAGTTTTCTTTCGTTTAAGTACTACACTGTACTGCCTTTTAACACTGCTTAGAAATTTGGCTGGATTTACTCCATTTTGAATACCGTTGTCGTGTGACGCGATAATGTTTTGATTTTTTTGTTTGATTTTTATACCATTTTATTGAGATACATAATGGTGCTGTGCTCTTTGAAAATTTCAGTTGGTTTTTAGTCATAAAGTATTCTATGTAATGAATTGCAATAACTCTTCATCCCGGGACTGGGGTTATTTCCTACATAATTCTTAGTGTGCCAAAATATATGGTGACTTTTCGGAAACATGCCAAGAAATCCTCGCTCAAACCTCCGGTGGACCTCCTACGGCACCCATTTAGATAAAGATTTGATTTCATACAATAAATTAATTTATGACCTGCATATACGTGTCGCTTAGAACACGGCAATGTACCAAATGGTCAATATTAATCATCCGTGTAATTTGCTCTATGTGATGTTTGCAAACTTTCAACGGAGGCAATTTCTTGGCATGAATAAATTAAATGAAATAATGTCTGAAAATTTAGATGAACTTGATTAAAACACAATCTAGAATGATATTTGAACATTGTTTTATTACATTTTTCAAAATTAATGTGGTTATTTTGTTGCCTGTTGCCCTAGATTTAAAAGATAATTTTGATTAATAACAGGTCAGAGGTAATGGAAAATTTTGGCAGAGTAAGTCGACAGTCAATATCCGATCACGCAACAGTTTTGGTGGCAGTGTATGTAATGTTAACTGTACTACACTGTCTGCTGAAATAATATGATGTTCGAAGGTGGCACTGTATGTATATACTTAAAATTTGATACTGTATATATAAATAAGAAGATGTGGTATGAGTGCCAATGAGACAACTCTCCATCCAAGTCACAATGTGTAAAAAGTTAAATTTGATATTGTGTCTAGTTTATTAGCAAAAGTACAAAATTTGCTATTCTACGCTTTTGGGATTTGGGATGTAGGGGATAACAAAGTGGGGATGTGGGATATATGGGGTAAAAAAAGTGGGATATAGTGGGTAAAAGGAGGGGATATGGGATAGAGTGGGTAAAAAGTGGGACGGAGAAAAAAAGAAAGGAAAAAGGAAGAGGTTGGGAAGCGGGATTATGGAAATGAGCGCCCCCGTGTCAACCCCTCTTAGATACAGGATTCACTATCAGCCTTTCATTTGTCTGTTATGTACCTTCACTTTTCGCCCATCTGCTGTAGTTTCATTGAATTCTTCATTAAGTTTGAAATTGATTTCTGTTGTTTTTATAGTAGTTATAGTTTTTATGGTCCAGTGGTCACCATCCACAGATATTTCTATTGTTGGCTTGGCCATGTTTGCCATCTTTCTCATTACTAACCCAACACCTAAAAAGGACCAGTAGCATTTTAATTGATATAATCATGTATAGTTAATGATTGATCGTTATTTGCTTCAAGTTCAGCGGCCAATATTTCATGCATATTTTGGACGAGAACAAATTTATAAATAAATGAACTAAGATGGTTCTGCAAAATATCGGGATAAAAAAAGAATGTATGTTAAGTTGACCGGGATTTAAAAAAAAAGACAATTTTACTGAAAAAAGAAAGTCTGTTTGGTGGGCACGATTTTTTGTCTTGTAAAAGGTTGGCACAACGCGGCAAAATTCGTTTGTTTATCACAAACGAGCGTATCTGTTTAAAATGCGACTACATACAAAAAACTAAAAGAAAGTGACGAAAATTTAATTGAAAAATGTCTACCGTGTGTTGATTTCTGTGTGTCTTTAGTGTGTGTGGGTGTCTTGTTGGGTTGCTGTCGCATTGAAGTATACCACATATCACTTTTTATTTATACCTGAAATAATACGCCGTTGTAAAAGAGAGGCGACAGATACCAAAGGGACATGTAATATACACGATTTTGGATACTAATGTTACCCTTTATTTTTTTAAAAAGAAAAAAGAGGGACTGCATAACAAATGATAATACTGGACATCATATTAAATCAAATTTATTGAATCGTCAGTTTTCAATGGATGAACGTACATTTTTTTTTAAATATATCAATTGTTTATATTACTGCTTTGGAAAACTGTTTACTGACATATCATCGTACCCATATATCTGAAGCATTTTTTCTTTCTCTTTATCGTTTTAATTGAATTTCTCTATATGGAAAGTGGGCGTTGAAGGAGGTCTGCATCTTTCATTACTTTTAACTTTCAGATCAAGCTGACCGTGTGTCTATTATCTAATAGTGTAATTGTTAGAAGGGTCGTGCCCTACATTAATTACATTTTTGTCCATTTTATTTGACAGGTCAGGTGAAAAGTCACCGGCCTATCCTCTGTAAAGGAAGATAAATGATTTATATTATAATGGTCATCGGTTATCAGTTAACTATTGTAGCAAAACAAAATATTGTAGTAAACTTTTACAAATAAAATACGACTGCATTGCTTAAACACGTTCGAGTAAAATATGGTGTATTGCATTAAAACGAAAACAAAAATTAATCAAGTTCCATAATATGAGAAACAATAAGCTTTCTGTCAAATTTGTCGATACAATATAGAATTAAAATTGTTGCATTAGTTTTAATGAATTAATAAATTTGTTTACATCCTTTTGCAGAATTGCATTCTTAATTCTGCTCAATGTAATTCCGTCAATTTGTTTTTGGTTGGTTTCGATCCTAAAATATGCATAAGAATTAAGATCATCCACGTGTACAATAGTCATCTTCATATATAAAAACCTTTGATCTCCACTCAAGTAGTCGTCAACTTTGAAACACGTATACTGACTGAAAACATTAATAATTTTAAGTGACTAGAAATATATTCATAATAATCAGTTTATCTTCCAGATTCAAGGATATGCAAATAGATATCCAGGTGATAAATGCAGTTTTGATTATAAGTACACAATGAAAACATACAGTCCATAATATTATTACTACATTATCTGAAATATTACATTATTTACATATTATCTGAAATACTACATTATATCTACCCAATATCTTACCCAATGCTTTCATATAATCATCAAAATTATGAGATTCTGCCATTCTCCATGTTCCCAAGGCTAAGTCTGCCATTGTAATTACTATTTTATAGGAATAGTAGAGTTGATGTCTATAATATATCGATTGAAGGTGCAGTAAAGAAAACATAACTCATGACAGTAATCTTTTTAAATTGGCGGGAAATTCGGTACACGGTCTTTGATTACTATTTTCTTTGATTCAAAATGTTTGATTCTATATTATCGTAAGGGTTTTCGATTGCTTCAATATATGCAAACAAATTTCGTCTTTATATTGTTATGTTTTTGTTGGTTTGAGGTTTCAAAGATTTCATCAAAAAATAAATAAAAAATGAAGGAATATATTTTAGATAGATGGACAAAAAAAACTATTCGCCAATCAATGAATAATTATGCTTAGTGCAAATCTCCATTTGATTTACAAATAAATCTAGGTACCCAGACTTCATCAAATAAGAAATGTACAATTCATGTAAAAATTGTTCTTAAAAATTCGTTAATATTTTCGGCCAAATGAAATCAGGACAAGGGTTTATATACTCTATAAATCCTCGAGGAAAACGATAAAACTTTAACTTGCATTTGAAGACGATGCAAGTGGAGTGGAATAGTTTTTGACAGAAATGAAAAGGAATAGCGGGTTCGATAGACCCAAATATGACCACTATTTCTAGATAAAATTTCAAATCAGCATGTAAAGCCGTTTATCATAATCTATCATAGTTAAAACAAAAATAGATGTATAGAAAATAGGCCTTTTAGAGTTTCCGTACCCAGAGTCGGATTACGCCCCCTTTTAATTGGATTTTTTTTATCGCAAAAATTAATGGTTAAAAAAACATTTTTTTCAATGTTCAGCGTTTTTTTTTTACCATATCTGCCATTCACGCACACCCTTTCTTCGAATCTTAAATATGCGTATCGACATTCTTTTTATAGCATTAAAACAATATTATCAAAGACGTTAATTTTACACCCAATTCAATGAAAATAAACCAATCTCCATCTGTTTTAGGACCGGAAACATATAGCACAGGAATCACAGATGCTTATAACAAATAACCTATCATTCAACAAAACATTTATAAATATATTTAAGGTGGTATGGGTGTCTTCCGCCATCTTGGATTCTAAAATAGTAGAACACAACAGGTCTAGAATTTTAATTAGGTCAGCAAATTTCGATGTAGGAGTGCAACTAATAAAAAAAAAGTTTCCATTTAAATGTACAGAGTAATGTGATCCTAGGTTATCATCACTCATATTTTTACAAAAATAGAATATTTTTTCTTGATTTCCATTTTGTGAATCTTGGAGTATTAAGGGGAGGTAACTTAGAAAAAGTATACTTTGGCGCCCGCTTACATGTTTAACCCCGCTACATTCTGTATTTGCCTGTCCCAAGTCAGGAGCCTGTATTTCAGTGGTTGTCGTGTGTTGCTGTATATCATATTTGTATCTCGTTCATCAAGTTGTTTTTAACATAAATCTGCTCGTTAGTTTTCTCGTTTGAATAGCTTTACATTTGTCATGTCGGGGCCTTTTATAGCTGAGTATGCAGTATCGTATAGTTTTTGCTCATTGTTGAAGGCCGTACGGTAACCTATAGTTATTAACGTCTATGTCATTTGGTCTCTGGTGGAGAATTGTCACATTGGCAATTAACCACATCTTTTTAGTTTAATACCTATAAATAGATCTTCAGAATTTTTCTATTTTTTTGTTATAGTTGGAAAAAACGTATAGTGACCCCATTTTTTTTCTGATATTCCAAAAGTATTTTATAAGGGCTATCTTTTTTATTTTCAAATTCTGTCAATTAGTTTACCCTTTGTCCCCATTATGATGCTTTTTTATCTATACAAAATGTGTAATTTTTTCACAAGCTGTAAACAAAAGCTCGGAGACCTATCATTTTATTACATTTTTGAACATATAACAACTTGATAATTATATACTACATTTTGGCTTATTTTTTTATACTCTCATACCATCTTAAGAATTAAAATAATTTTAATCGTTTTCTTCAGAATTGTTTACTAATATTTAAGGTCGTACAGTGACAAGTGAAAGTTCACATCTTAGTTCTGTTTTTTATGGACAATCTTCACAATGACAACTCATCATCGTATTACCACAATTCTTGCTATATAAAAAAGTAAAAATAAAAACCCAACTTGAAAGTATCATGAATGGTAGAAGGGTCGGTTTGGTTCTAAATTATACTTTGGTCCCAAAAACATGGCGGATATACGACTTATTTCACAAAGACAAACAACATTTTAAAAAAATATTACATAGGAAACTATAAAGACTGAGCAACACAAATTTAACCAAACAAGGGTGGGTGGGGTGGGGCTTGATTTCAGGTGCATCCTGTTCCACATGTGACACCAGTCTTTTTACTCTGGTAAGTGAAATGCTTTAACCTGGGAACAGTATATCTATATATATATCAATTTATATGTTCCTGCTTTAACTTAACTGGAAGATTGTGCCGTATTATTGGAATAAAACTATCATTTTAAGATTAACTTTTTAATCGCTCTCAACATATGTTTTGCCTATTAACATAATATTTCTGCTTGACAATACAAACCACAATTTTAAATCGACGGATCATAAATTTTCCCTTTAAGTAATCAGGGCTGTTATTTCTATACCAAAAATTAGTACATGTAGATCACACAGTAAGTTGGTTATTAGATGAATTTATAATTGGTTATTGGATGAAGCATGAAAAAGTCACATGACAATAAAATGGATGTAGTGCGGCAGATTTTGAAATTTTTTTTCAAATATTCACCACTATAATCCGTAATGGCTTCGTATGCTGATTATTTATACGGACAGGATTTTTAACATTACCATTTGTCTGACATCGACACTTAAATTTCGGACTCATCAACAGAGGTAAAAAGACACAGGCACTTGTTTTATGTTTATATTCTTTATTATCATGATATAAATGGATAGTAGACATTCCCAATCCCATGGATAGAAACACGCGCCTGTGTAAAAAGACGGTTATGGCCAACCATTTTTCCAAGGATTCTGTAAAAACATCCAAATCAGAAAAAAACTGCCCTGGACTCAAAATATGTAAAGCCTAAAGGGATAAGCTATAAACCCCTGGTCGTGTCTTGCGAACACCTTAATAATAGACTAAATATGAGATTGAATAACAAAACCTGTTTTTAATGCATAGTGATACATGAATATATAATGGACGACTTTCAAAATCGTGCACTTTTCTGTACATTTCCTATGTCATGTATGTCACAATCAGGCCTGGGGTAATGGTAATTTGTAATTACAATGCATTGTAATATTACATTTTTTTGATGTAATGCAAAGTAATTTGTAATGCACATTTTCTGCATTACAATTACATGTAATGTAATGATTACTTTAGTTAAAAATCAATGTAATGCCTCCATTACTGTACATTACTTTTCATTACAAATTGGTAAAATACATAAAATTGAAGAATATAGTAAAATAAAAATATTAACAAAAACAAAAGAAAATATTGAATAACATTATTGTCACAGTTAATTACTGTATTAAATCATTATAGATAGTTTGCCCTTAAAAAATCTTCTAAAAATAATTATTAAACAAAACTATATAGATGAATGGACAAAATATGAAGATGAAATTTTCATAATTCTATACACACCTTACATGTATTTCAATGAAAGGTTGAATATGTCAATCAACATTTTTACACCAAACTGTGGTTGTTATTTTACCTAATTAATATCAAAATGTTTTTATTGCAATCAAATCTTCTCAACTTATGTTTGTCCTCTCAGAGCCCTTTGGCATTTAACAAGATAATCCTTTAATTGCACATTTATTATATCCCTTTGAAATCCCTTTATGATGTCTTAATGATTAAGTGATCAATGTTAGAAACAAAATTATATGATAATTTATTTATTTTTCAAGTATTTGAAGCAAATGTCACTAACACTGTATATATATGTACATATACCCCGGTAATATTTATCAATTTCTTATAAAAATCTGTTTTTTAAATGTTTTTATATTGAAAAAGTAATGTGTAATGTAATGCATTACACAGGCAAAGTAATTGTAATGTAATGCATTATATGTGAGAAAAAATGTAATTGTAATGGAAGAATCACAAAGTAATTGTAATGTAATGCATTACATTGCAATGTAATGGCCCCAGGCCTGGTCACAATGCTTGTGTTATTACATTTCAATAAGAACTGATTGTTTAATTAAGGCAATTACACAGACTGACCGTGGGTCAACCAGTGTAACTCATTCATAAAAAACAACAAGAGATTAGTGTATTTTAATTAGCTTTAATTAATTCTGGATTTACAAAGAAAAATATTAAAAAGTGCAGATACATTGCGGGCTAGCATTATTACCCTTTGTTTGCTGGTTACCATGGTTCAAGGACTCTGCAAGATAACTAGCAATGTAGCAAAAATGAATTGTTGTTTTTTAAATACATGTAACATACATACATGTACAAAAGTAATGCTGTTTTCCCATAAAACATAGTGACAATAAAGAATGTATATTGTCCTCATTCAAATCAATTTAAAATGCTTTTCTCTTTAACATGTTTAAGGGGCAATCTTGAATTTATCAAACATGTCCAAATAAGTTGTTGGTTACACCAGGAACATAACCTAAATCTTTCAGCTTCTTTCATGTCTTTAATTCTGAAGTTTCCATTCACAAATGACCAACAAAGTGGGGGAGGACAAACAGTATATTGAACAAATATATCATGTTATGGAGGGTTATTTGCGAAAAATACCAGTTGAGGGACTGTTAAATTTCCCGAGCCGCTAGTCAAGGGAAATTTGGTCCCAAGACTGGTATTTTTCGCAAATGCCCCTCCATAACATGATATATCTGTTTAATTACACCGAATAGATTTTGATTGAAACTCTCTGTACTGGTGAAATGATATATTATTTTACTAGTAAGATGTAATTCATAAACATGTTTATGTATAATTTTGAGGATAAGTAGAGACTATCATTATACCTTGGGAATTATACATGTACTTATACCATGTTATACGCGTTAGCGCTGTCTTTATTTCACGTCATATTCGAATAATTTTGGCGGGAATAGGCTCGCGAGGATAAAAAAGGAATATCTTTAGTATAATTATTTGTGATATGCAGTCACTGACCATATATCGCCTTGTTTATTACGTTGACAATGCGTTTCCGTAGAGTTTTATTTATGACGTCATTAAAAAGTACAGGTTCCCGAAATTTTTTACTTCGTTCGCTCCAAATTAAAAAATGATGGTTTTTACCCGAAATATTTCATTTGGAACAGTTGTAGGAGTTGCAGTATATACAGAATAACCAAAGCCTTGCTTCCTACCTGTGTCTAAGCCTTGTACAAATAAAATTTATATTTCGAGACAATGTATGGTTATTCTATATTTATTATAAACAATAAAATCAATATTGTGAATTTGTAAACAATGGGTTTGATTTTTTTGTATAATATTTCAACACATTCAAGGTGTTTTTTACAGAAAATACAAAGATGGTGCAAGAAATTGAAAACTTTTATGGAGTTTATTTACTTTACAATGTAAATCCAAAGTTCAAAGGTCGTACATACATAGGATTCACAGTAAATCCAAATAGGAGAATTCAACAACACAATAAAGGTCGACATGCAGGAGGGGCATGGAGAACACATGGAAGGGGTCCATGGTAAGTAATAGCTGGATCAGGGACTACATGCCTTTGATCCCGGAGGGTCATAGAAAACACATGGCAGGGTTCCATGGTAAGTCATAGCATAGATATAAGAAGATGTGGTATGAGTGCCAATGAGACAACTCTCCATCCAAGTCAAAATTTATAAAAGTAAAGCATTATAGGTCACAGTACGGTCTTCAACACGGAGCCTTGGCTCACACCGAACAGTAAGCTATAAAGGGCCCCATAAATTACTAGTGTAAAACCATTCAAACGGGAATAACTATTCTAAATATTCTTAGATTGAGACAAAGGAAATAAGTAGTTATCTTAGTACTTGACTTTCATTGTTACATGTACATTATGTCTTGATGAATTTTAATTTTTTTTTTTAAAAGTGTTTTTCTTATTTTCATGGGATAAATCTTAATACTATAAAAGTTGTCTCCACTTTGTAAAATAGTTGACTATGTCATAACTGATAAATCATATACAGGATATATAAAATTGAAAGAACAATTATACTGCAAAAAACTATTGTTTTGACATTAATTTAATAAAAAATGTCTGCCATCTTGATGCTAAATTTTTGTTTTTATCTCTATCTTTTTCTTTCCAGTCCTTTATTCTTTTTATTAATTATTGCATTTCTGCAATATCATTCCATTACATTTTGTTTTGGTTTAGTTTATGGTGAGTTTCCTACTTATCATTTTTTATGCTTCTATATGTTGGTGAAATGTTTTTCTTTAGTATTTTTTATACATATGGAGAATAATCAGATATTACTATTACATTTTTTTACGGTCATGTTATGTGCTAGTGTATTTATCGACATCATATCATGTGTGCTATGGAGGAATTAACTGTTAATTGCCAAGGTTTGGGAGATCAAGTTAAAAGAAGAGATGTTTTTAACTATTTAAGAACAAAGAATTACAATATTTACTGTTTACAAGATACTCATTTCTTATGTGAAAATGAAAATAATATAAGAGCTATGTGGGGATATGATAGTTTTTTTTCATCATATAGTTCAAATTCAAGAGGTGTAGCAGTTATGTTTAATAACAACTTTGAGTTTAAGGTCCTAAAAGAAAAAAAACATGTTGGTGGCAATTATTTAGTATTAGACTTAGTTGTTGATACTTTACATTTTACACTTGTAACTATTTATGGACCAAATATAGATAATCCAATTGTTTATGATCAAATTATGTCAATTATAGATGATTTTGGTAATGATAGCTATATGATATGTGGTGATTTTAATCTTGTTCTCAACCCTGATATAGTTATTTTAACTATTTACATGTAAATAACCCAAATGCTCGGGGAAAAGTTTTAGAAATCATTGAGGAAAGGTGTCTCATTGACCCTTTCCGAGAACTTTACCCAGATTTGAAACGTTTCACATGGAGAAAAAGAACCCCCTTTAAACAAGCAAGGCTAGATTTTTTTCTTGTGTCTGAAAATTTATTATGCTGTTTGAATAATTGTAATATTGAGCCTAGCTATCGCTCTGATCATTCTATGGTTATATTAAATCTAGAATTTAATCCATTTGATCGAGGTAGAGGATTGTGGAAATTTAATAATTCATTATTGTATGATCCAGAATATATAAAGATTGTTAAAGAAAAAATAGTAGAAGTTAAAAAACAATATGTAAGGCCTGTTTATGATATAGATAGAATTGAAGACATAAATAATGAAGATCTCCATTTTAATATTAACAGTCACTTATTTCTTGAGACAATGTTGATGGAAATTAGAGGCAAAACTATATCTTATTCAAGTTATAAGAAAAAAGTAAAAGAAAAACAAGAGAAAGATCTTAGGAATGAAATCCTAATTTTGGAAGAAAAGGTAGATGAAGGTTCAATAAAGATTTTGGAAAATAGAAAATATGAATTAGAAAATATAAGAAAAGAAAAAATTAAAGGGAAAATAATTCGATCAAGAATACAATGGGTAGAAGAGGGTGAAAAACCTACTAGCTATTTTTGTGGGCTAGAATCAAAAAATTTTACAAATAAGATAATACCAAAAGTAGAAAAAGAAAATGGAGATGTAATTTCAAAACAAAAAGATATTTTGAAAGAAGTGAAATCTTTTTATGAAAATTTATATAAAAATAAAGATCAGTCAAAGGGAGATAAATTCAGTAAACTTGAAGAAGGATTGAAAGATATAAAGTTTAAAAAAATTAACTGATGATGAGAAAAATAATCTTGAAGGCAAAATAACAATTGAAGAAGCTGGTTTGATATTGAAAAATATGAAAAATAATAAAACACCAGGATCTGATGGTTTCTCCACAGAGTTCTTTAAATTTTTTTGGAAAGATTTGAAAATTTTTGTTGTAGACTCCTTGAACTACAGTACTGAGATTGGTGAACTATCTGTTACGCAAAACAAGGAATCATTACATGCCTGCCGAAAGGAAATAAACCTAGACATTTCTTAAAAAATTGGTGACCTATATCTTTATTAAATACAGTTTATAAAATTGGCTCTGGAGTAATAGCAAAACGCTTTAAAACAGTTTTAGATAAACTGATAGATTTCGATCAAACTGGATTTATTAGTGGGAGATATATCGGAGAAAATCTTCGTTTAATTTATGATATTATGCAATTTACTGAGGAAAAAGACATTCCAGGACTTTTATTGCTCATAGATTTCGAAAAGGCATTTGATTCAATTTCTTGGGAATTTTTAACCAGTGTCTTGAAGTTGTTCAATTTTGGAGAATCAATAATTAATTGGGTTAAAATTTTTTATAACAATATTAAATCAGCTGTTAATCAGGGAGGACATCTATCAGAATTTTTTTCGTTAGAACGAGGCTGTAGACAAGGTGATCCCTTGTCGCCTTATATTTTTATTCTCTGTGCTGAGATATTAGCACTAAAAATACGAAATAATGATAAAATAAATGGCATTACAGTTACTCAAGCTGAGCAAAAACTTTCACAATTTGCTGATGACACATCTCTTATTTTAGATGGTAAAGAAGAATCTTTGAATGAAGCATTAAATGAATTAGATTGGTTTGGAAATATATCTGGTTTAAATATTAATTTTTCTAAAACACAAGTTATTTGGATAGGAAATAAAAAGTATAGTAATTAGGTATTATGCCAAAATAGAAACCTTACATGGGGAGAAACATGTTTTAAGTTATTAGGTATAAGCTTTGATGTTAATCTTGATAGAATTGTAAAAATTAATTATGATGAAAATATTGTAAAAATAAAATGTGTAATTAAACAATGGTCAAAACGAAATCTTACTGTTATTGGTAGAATAACTGTTGTAAAGACATTGATATTGCCTATTTTAAATCATTTGTTTATATCCTTACCAAATCCAAGTGATGATATTTTAAAAAATGTTATTGAACTTATGTACAATTTTATATGGAGTTCACCAATTGATAGAATAAAGAGAGATGTTTTACAAAATGGTATTGAAGATGGTGGACTCAAAGCGATAAATCTTAGTGCATTTATTTTAGCACTGAAGTGTACATGGATAAGGAGATTATTCAAAACAGACAACAAATGGTAGAATGTTTTTTTGTCAAATGTTCATGTAGAACTTGAAAAATTTTATGGTTGTGGAAGTGTTTATATACAAAAATTACAACAAAATATCAAAAATAAATTTTGGCAAGATGTTCTGAAAGCATGGCAACTTCTCAGAGAAAAAGATGAATATGACAGTTGGGAATGCTTTCTTGCTAGTCCAATCTGGCTTAACAATAATATAAAGGTAGCAAATAAACCTATTTTTTATAAAGATTGGTTTGAAAATGGTATAAGATTTATTAATGATATTGTAAATGAAGATGGGACTTTTTTCTCTCATCAAAAATTAGAAGAAATGTATCAGATAAATGTGAATTTCATGAGATATAATAGTATTATATCTGCTATACATCAAGAATCAAAATCATTTGTGGGAAAAAATCACAAAGTAGAACTACCTTTAATTTCATCTGCTATTAAAAGACTTGTTCAAAGTTCAAAAGGATCTAAAGATATGTATATTGTTTTAAATAAAAATAAAAGTGTTCCCACTAGTCAGTTAAGATGGACTGAAATTTTTGGCTTTGATCAAAATCATTGAAAAAAAATTTATAAAATGCCTTTTGTTGTCACAAATAAAACTAAGTTACAGTGGCTACAGTATAGATTCAATCATCGAATCTTAGCTACAAACAAATTTCTTCATAAAATTAAGATTTATGATACCGGTAATCCAAATTGTACATTTTGTAATAGAGAAATTGAAACATTAGAACATTTATTTTGGGAATGTGAACATACACAATTATTATTAGAACAGATTGAAAATTGGTTTCTGACCAATGGGATTAGTGTACCATTTACAAAAGAAGTTTTTTTGTTTGGTAACATTGCAAAAATATCAAAAGGCAATGCAGAAAATACTCTTTTTCTTACCATAAAGCAATATGTTTATAATACCAGATTCTTTAAAAAAGAAACTGTCAATAAACTCAATAAAGGGGAAGATGAAATATGTTTATGCAATTGACAAAAATATTGCTATGAAAAACAAATGTGAACATCAGTTTCTCAGAGAATGGAATATTTTTGATAGATTACTTAGTTAAGTACAAAAATGTATATACTTTACATTTAATATTATACATGTTACAAATGAAAATGCTGTATTTACTATACTAAAATAGAATTCAATGTCTAGATGAATTGTATTGAAAACTCACCACACTATTCTCTCTCACTCTCTTTCTCTCTCTATTTCTCTCTCTCTCTCCGGTGTTCAGACTGCTTTACTCTTTATCTTATATTTGTATATTGGAAAAAAAAAAAAAAAATTGCTTCCTAATAAAAAGATGTATTTGATTAGATAATATCAATAGATTTATATATTATATATTGTTGTTATTTGTGTATATTATGTTGTAAATTGGAAGTTATAAATAATAAAAATAAAAAAAAAAAAGTCATAGCATAATCAGGGACTACATGTAGGAAGGGTATGGAGAACACATTAAAGGGGTCCATGGTACATGTAAGTAATTACAGGATTAGGGACTACATGTAGGAAGAGCATGGAGAACACGTTAAAGGGATCCATGGTATATATAAGTAATTACAGGATCAGGACTACATGCAGGGATGGCATGGGGAACAAATGAAAGGGGTCCATGGTAAGTCATATCAGGATCAGGGACTACATGTAGGAGGGGCATGAAAATCACATTGAAGCACAGTGGTGTACTACTGAAATGAAGGTAGGACCCATGGTAAGGTGTAACTCAATAAAAGTTAAAATACAGGAGGGGTGTGGGGAACACATAGAAATGGTTTATGGAAAGACATGATAAAATTTATTATTAAGTTCAGTATGCAGAATGGGCATGGGTAATACCTGTAAAGGTTCAGGGTAAGATATTACACCATACAATTAGTAAATATTTTGGTTTCTGTTTTGTCAATATGAATAAAAAGAGGGGTCGACTAAGGTATATACACTAATGAGACAGAAACCCTACTTCACAACAACAACAAAATAAATCTCAAGGTTAATAGGTGGTATATCAACACAAGAAACTTGAAATTTACATTTGAAAGGAACTCTATTGGATAGACTTACATCATTCAAGGTATATCTGTGGATATGCACATCTTAAGGGTAATTTACATTTAATTTTGACTAATTTTTGAGACTTCCAGTATTGCTGTTACAAAACATTTCCATTTTAAATTTATTAAGCAGAAGTTTTTTTACAGTTACAGTAAAGAGGACACAGAAGGGATAATTGTATGTGCAAATCAAACCAGGTTTTAAATTGTGTATTGAAAATGTAAAAAATTTATGCATTCATAATCTACATATATGATTAATAACTTATCACAAAAATACGATATATTAATTGTCTTTCTATTTTGAATTTTATAAAAGTTCTTTTTCTCGTTTTGTAGGGAAATGGTTTTGATTATCCATGGTTTTCCGAATGAAATATCTGCTCTTAGAGTAAGTACTTTAAAATGGATGAACTCTATTTTTTTTCATATGTTTCAAAATATTTTGTTACACATATCATGCACATATATATTTGTTTAATTTTTCTTTTTAGTCAATATACTGTCCTTTGATAGTTCTTTATTAGAAAATCAAGAGTGTGATCATGAATTTTTCCTGTGCATATTGTAGATATTTGACAAAGTTATTTTGCAAAGTGGTAATTTAACATTTTCTTTTCAAAGTTTGAATGGGCCTGGCAACATCCTGACAAATCAAGAAGACTCCGACATCTTCCTGGAAAAAAGAAAAAGGAAACCCCATTCCTTTTTCGGTTCAGAATAGTATCAGAAATGTTAAGAAGTGGACCGTGGAATAGACTTGCACTAACAATCAGATGGTTAAAACAGGAATATATTACAGATTTTGCACCTGACATTAAACCACCAGTTCATATGCCAATAGCTTATGGTTTAGTGAAGGTGAAAAAGGTTGGATCTGATACAGGCAGGAGTAAGAAGGGAGACAATTCAGAAAAAGAAGCAGTAGATGATGATTTAGTTAATCTTTCACAATGTGGTAACAAGTATCCAAGATGTAGTGTTTGTAATAAAAGAATACAGGTATATGGAGCACTTGTTTTAAAAGATATGTATAATATAATATATTGGGTGTGTTCTTATGAGACGGCAATCCTATAACACAAAAACCAAGACATTTATATTTGTTATATACTAGTATTTCATGGGATTTTTTTTGTCTCGTGTACATTCATGGCATCATACTTTGGCATGAATGATTTCAAATTGTAAATAAATGAATCAGTGAAAGCCATAAAATATAAATGCAAAGTAGATGTAAAAGTAATGTTTTAAGGAATGCATCTGATTAATTGCCTTCACCATGTTCACCCGAACACAATTTATTGCATTTTTGAGTTATATTATTTTCAGATGTTCAAATAACAGTGGTGTCTTATAATGCTTTCTATTTCAATTCTTAAAATTAGGTAAAGATTGAAGATTAATGATTGATTCCTATTTCAGGCAGAAGATCATACATTAAAATGTGTTCATCCAAAATGTCAGATGGTATCCCATACATTATGTTTAGCCAATAAATTTCTGTCAGACAAAGGAACAAAGAATGAAGTTTTACCAGTTGATGGTACCTGTCCCAAGTGTAAGGGTGCTGTGTTGTGGGGTGATTTAGTGAGACTCAAGACAGGATGTTATCAGAATCTGGAAGAGGTAAGAAGAAATTAAGACTCAAATTGCCAGGGTAATGGATATCTTGTTTTGAGAATTTAATTGCAGAATGTTTAATTTAATTATTGATTCACAAGATTTATGATTATAAATGTCTCGCCTGCAAAAAGTTTTGTCACAAGCAAGACATCGTGATCCTGCATTCTGTCATCATTGTATCATCAACACTTAGCTTCAGACTGTTACAGTTAGAAGTTGTTGTTTTAGACATCAATAACTTTGATAAACCCTCATGGAATGTTATGAAATTTAGACAGAACCTCCTTCCAGATCAAGCATTTAGAGCAAAATTTTAAAATGACTATGTAGTGATACCAGCTCATATGAGCCTTTAATTTACTTATGTTCTACTTTTCATGTATATATTGTATGTACAGTACACACAAGGGCATTCAATCAAAAATCGCTCTTTGTTGTGAATTTTCACTGTGAATGCTGGTAATGTTTGATGGTTCACTTAGAAATATACCAACCCTGCTAAGGTATAGAAATATGGTTATCAATTGGTCTTCTTCTGACCAACAGTAAAACAATTGCTAAAATGGGGTATCTGATTTTTGGAGTGCAGGGTGTATAAATTTGCAGCAACTTCACATCAGAATGGGGATGTTAAATCTGACAGACTGCCACACTGTCTGCAGGTTAAGAACCCTTTCAAAAACTCTCTGAGGGGTCATTAGGTGACCTGTTGCAAGGCCACATTTCTGCGTAATTTATTCTCATCCTGAATCTGCATGAAATATTTGTCGCTGGATGTAAACCAAACAACAATCAACCAATTTTATTTGTTTTACATGAAAGGGTCATAAATCAGAATGTTGTCTCATAATTAAAGTGATTCATTTTAAACCAACAAGAGATCATTATCAGGGTAATATGAACAAACTATAGACTATAACAGGCAATGAAATCTAACATGTACTGTCATAATATGTATAAATGTATAAATTTGGTAAATGCTGTGTTGTTGAAGTCTTAAAGTCAAATATTATATATATGCATACATGAATTAACTAGAAAAAATTATTATGAATGTGAGAAGAATTTAGGACAGTTTGTAGAAGTTGATGCCAGTGGACTTGAATTTGCTGGTTTGTGTAAAGCTTCTTGTAACATAAAAGTTACTAGATAATATAATAGTACAAAAAAACCACTAAATGTTTTTTTTTAGTGTGGAAGCTCTGATGATGAAGAAAATGAAGATCATTGGGCCAATGAACTACAAACTCAAATCCCATGACTGCCTTAAATTCATGTCACATGCTCCTAACAGGATTAAGATCAATGGAGTTAAATGAAACACATTCCTTCACAGTACAATCTACTGGAACATGTGTGAGTAAAAAAGAGGAATTATATGGATTAATAGTTGTGCTTTAAGTACCACATGAAAACATTTCAATGTTAGAATTAAGGACATTAGAAGATATTTTACAAAGGATATTAGATATTGATTTGAAACACCAACATATGTTGTTAGAATATTGTTCATCCACATATTTGCAGTAACATGTTTTACCATTACAAAATTAATGAAAAATCCATTGAACAACAGTTAGTGTAAGTCTTAAGGATATATGTAGACTTTGCAGAAGTTCTTAAGAAATAAATGTTATGTTTTAAGAATGCTAGGAGTCTAACTGTATTAAAAGTTAAGTCATATGCTGTTCAGCGATCATTTAGTTCATTTCTTTATTTAGAGAATAAACATACATTATGTGACAGCTACAAGCTAGGTGACTGAATTTTAAGAGGCTCAAATTATCTTTTAATCACTTTTAATGAGCTGTAGTTACATTTTTTAACTTAAAAAAGACAATGTAGTGTATTAGAGCTTTACATATTGTAAATATAGACACATGTCTGTTGTTGTCTGAGACTATATGTTGTCAGCTAGTTGTCTTATTGTTATTTTTGTCTTTGGGTTGCTGTCTCATTGAGGTTCACCTTAACTCAAATAGAATTCTTCAAGCAAGAAATGCATTCAATACTCTTTAGTTAATTAACCTGTGGAAATTGGTCCCTTGACACAGTGTTAAATTTGTTCAGTCAGAACTTGCAGTTCTCAGAATGACATTATGGGAAACAGTCCTTGGTATGGTAGAACTGGTGAGTTTTGAGTTATGTGTTTTACCTTTATATAACATGGTGACATAATAAACCATATACTGTTCCCAGGTACGCTTCAAAGGAAAATTATCAATGTTCACATAAAGAAAAAGAAATCTTGTAGTTCATTAAAGACTGCAATTTTTTTTAGAGTTCAGCCATAATTTTTTCGAGATTTGTTAGCTTAAGTTAATGTGACAAATCCTAACTGGTTCATGGTCCAAAGTCATATAACCTATGCAAAATTAAAAATAAACTAAGGGGGCTATACAAAATCCATCAATGGAAAAAGACATGACATAATGGCCAAAAGAAAGAAGATGAAATAACAAACAACAGTCCCCAAAAAATTACACAGAAAACTTACTAAAGGCTCCCAGTGGCCTGAATCACTCAATTGGAAAAAGTATGCAACAATGGTAACCATCCTGTGAAGAACCAATTGACGATTTCTGACTGAGGGGCGTAGCTAGACTAGTATTTGAGTGTAGGCGCCCTTCGCCGAGCGGAGCGAGTCGAAACATTTTTGGACCATTTTATGTAGAAAATAATTTTCGATGTATACGCAACCTCGTTTTTGCGTACGGGTTCCAAATATGACCTTTTCAAAACACCACGATTACCCTGAGCAATTACTATTTTCTTGGGAAAAACATTTATATCCAAATTGAAAGTCACTCAGAAGGAATATATATTTGTAGATCACTCTTTTAGTGTATATATATATATATATTATACCAGTGACCGCTAGTAAAGTTCTTTAAAAGGCGTCAGACTAAATGGCCAAGTTCGATAACTAATGCAAGACAAGCAATTTGCAAGTTCGAGGTACGATGTTTAATTATTACATCGCCCGAAGCATCATACAATTCTCTTTGAAGTCGGCCGCGTTTCCATTCCCTTTAAATATGCAATTCCTTGGTTATATGTGTGGAACTCTGAACCGCGACGATCAAGCTGAAGTGCGATGGTGGCATTGTGACGATATTCTGTTGATAGCTACGCCGAAGTGCGATGGTGGTAACGCTGAAGTGCGATGCACTGCATAAAATATATTTTTAATGTTTGTCATTGTCATGTCGATGTAGAAGTCAATGTGTATGTTGAAAGCAGTTTTTCTTGTTTTTAAGTTGATAAGGGGCAGCGGATTTTTTTTTTCGAAATCTGCAAAAGGTTCTTTTTACGTACGATGGAGCTTGGCATTCTCTAAATACATACGGGTCTGCAGACAGCATCGAACTCTCCGTATCATAATATCGTAAATGAGGAACTCATGAGGAACCAAGTAAAGATAAAATGTTAACGCAGAATTATGTACACAAGCAGAAAAACAAAGAGGACGATCTTTCATTTAGTATGCAAATTTATTTACCAACTATTGAAAATATCTACTTCTCATAATAATTGCACATCTGCAGATTTTAACTAGCCTTCACGCGTCATATAGACCATCGCACATCAGCGAACGAACTTTCGCACTTCGGTGGAGACCATCGCACTTCAGCGTAGCTATCGCACCTCCCGAGTACTACATATGTATACCCGACATTAAATAAATCTTAAATTATTTATTATTAATTATTTTTGGCAGGTATATGAGTAATGTGGCGGGGTTAAACAAGTTTTGTATACGTTTATTAGACTACACGCATGCACACAAGCTTGTCTGTTGGACAGTTGAAATGGTCACATATATATAACAACAGTGGACAAATGCTTGAAGACGTAAAAGGCCCTAGACATTCTTCAAATTAATTTTATTTTGTTATCATGATAATGGTTGTTTAAGAAAGATGTGAAACTAAATGGATTTCTAAAGTAAATAACAAGCAGAGTTTAACAACACATTAATTGAGACAGAAAAAAATAATTTTAATCGACGTAATTCATGTTGTATTATATTGTTATAATGTGTTAAAACCTCTGATAATTTATTGACCAAATTAATAAAATATATGACTAATACTAACATTGTTTACAAAAAAGTGCCCATCATATTGACAAATTATGGTCTGTCTTCTGTGAAGAATGTTAGAGTGTTAGATCGGGAACCCCTAATTGGCAAATTTATGTATAGGCACGTGCCTAGTCGAGCTTTAGGTAGCTACGCCACTGTCTGTCATGCTATATTACGTGTTCATCATTTTTGCTGGTAACTGTTTCTCTCTATCTTTAATATATCTCAAGAGAATTGCCTATAACGTTAAAAAACAATCAAGGAGTCCCCTTAATGATTTTAGTCATGTTTTTGAGATGCAATCAACAAGAAGATATGTCCATGGGACACCATGCACTGTTCACACTACCATATGTCAATGTTCAGTTAACCATGTAATAGGGGTCAAAATTGTAATCTATCATATAATTTCAAATGGTCATCCTTGGACATCTCCTGTACCGGCAGTTAAACACTTAAAGTGGGTTGTACATTTGGCTGTGCGGAATAATAAATACGCAGCCACGGTCGGAACGATACTTTAAATGGGAGAGTGCCATGCTCTCTACATTTTCAAGAACTCTGAGGGATCCATAAATGGTTTATTGCAAGGCAAAATTTCTGCCGCTATTAAACATTCCATCATTTTCACAGGTGCTTAATCAGGATTTAGAAAGGGTGCCATTGGCAAGACAACATAAAGACTGAGTGGGACATAAAAAGTACATGCATTAACCATATATGTAGCTCCATAAGTGGCCCCAAACCCCCGGTCCGCCCCTTATATAACCGCCTCTTGGTCATCGCTATATTTTCCACTGGACGTTAAGTAACCTGGCACCACTTACTCAATTACTAGTACTACAAAAAACGCAAAAATGGTAAAATTAGACTTGACGATTTTGAATCAATAAAATGAAAGATAGATCATGACGTGCTGGTCCTTTTGAAGTTCCTTTATTTTGACTTATTTCAAGGATTTGTATACAAATCCTTGCTTATTTCAAATTAAAACAGGATTTGGCTTGTGGGCTGTTACGACGGTATTCCGACCAGCCCAGTAGTCAGTACTTCGGTACTGGCATGAAAATACGGACCTTGTGTTATTAGAATTTGCTGTTACGATTTTTTTTTAAATATATATCTCCCACATATAAAGATCTGATTCCTTGTCCGGCTTCGGCTATACATTTTGTTTGGTCTTATCAGCTCTTCAATATTTTTTTATTAAGTTTTGGTTTTGAAATATTTTGGTCTCGGTGCATCACTGAAGAGACTCTATCAAGGAAATTGTGATAGGAAAAGCAAGCCTATGAATACTGTATCAACCGAAAGGTTTATACTCCATATCCATGTGCTGCTGAACTCTTTCTGCAAAAAAATGGAAAGTTTAAAAAAAAAAGAAACGAAATATCTTATAGGTAAACTCTTTTTTAAACTTGATGCAACGAGTGTTTATGGTTGAATAAACTATGAAAACAAGCGTCAATGGGTCATTTGTTCGGAGACATTTCTGCACCAAATGGACAATACTTAATCAGAAACTAGGGATGAACATATATGTATGCTCTTTATGCCTCTTGTGGGTCTTAAATAAGTTACTATTTTAAGGTAAAATCATATCAGGAGCAATCCTTGATCAGGGGCGGGTCCAGGTGAGGGCGTAATGGGCGTACGCCCCCCCCCCCCCCCCCTTTAAAAAAAACAACTATCGTAATCTGCTTATATTGTATTGAATAGTGCATTTCACAATTATTTTATGTTTTTTAGCAAAAAAAAGGTCAAACAAATTTTTGATTGTACCCTCTTTCAAATATCCTAGAAACGCCCCTGTAATGACTGAGAATACGCCCATACGATATGAACATGAAACATCCAAAGAGAAAGAAAGGAAGCTAGCCTACAATTTTTATCATTGTATGGTTTAGCAGTTTATATGCAGGCGGAAACCCAGTTGAAATAGAACAAAAGAATCGAAGCTCTTTGTTAGAGAAGGCGATAAATGCTTACCAGGGGCGGATCCAGGATTTTGGAAAGGGGGGGCGTAGTATTAAAAATTTTTGGACCTTTTTTTGGCTAAAAAACATAAAATAAGTGGAAAATGCATTTTATAGTTAAGTGTAGGGGTTGGACATTTTTGGTGCCGTATTCTCTCCATTAATTGTCTATTATAAAATGATTGGATGGATCCAAAGCTATGTACTAATTAATCATATATTTGATGTGGGATTTGTCAGTAAAAAATGGACTTGGAAAATTCTCGTTTGTTGTATGGTTAGTTAGCATAACCTCACAGATTTCTTGTTGTAAACAAGATATACGGCTATTCAATGAAATTTGGTTGAAATGTTTCAACCAACAAGGGAAGTGAGGGGTTCCAAATCAACCAAAGGCTACGAATGAGTCGGAAATGACAATGAAGTTGTGAATGACGGTCGACACATGGAGACATATAGGCCACACCCAGTAGGCAGGTTGCAGTCGGGCCTTGAAAAAAGTATTCAGTATATCAGTTCGGCGAAACAGACATTCCGGTCAGATATGGGATTCACATGCAACCCCCTCCAAAAAAAAATTACGCCCGTTTTTTATTCATCATGTTCATTTAATGCTAAATAATTTTGTTGAAAATATTTTTTTCTAATAGCAAAAAAGTGGATAAGATTATTGTTTTCAATCCAGATACGGCCAGAATTTTTGTTTAAGGCAAAAATCAGGGTCAGAATTTAAAATATCTCAGACTGCCCCCTCAAATCAAATGGTCCGTACCTTAGACTTTAAATCTATATCTAGAGCTTACTGACTGGGGATCACTATTCAGCAATGTTATTAATGGACTGGGGCGTGTGGGGTTAAACATGTTTTCGTAGGTAAATAATACTGCTGTGGAACTTTTTTTTTCATGAGAGTGTAATAGAATATTACTTTCTGTTGGGTGGAATTGTGAAAAAGAAGTCAATACGTTCTTGCTCAATACTTTGTAGCTTTGAAGGCGTCATGCTTGTCATCCTCAGCCTAAGCAATGTGTTACTGTAATTTGAATTTCAAAATGACTGAGTGACGTTTTTTTCGACGTACTGGTCAAGTCCACCGTAGCGAATCACATGACTTTGACATAATCAATTATATATTACAGTAAATACGAGCGAAAAATATCTTTATAAGTAAAGAATTTTCGCATAAAAATTAGATTCACGGGAAATGGCAAAGTTCGCGAAGTCTAGTCTGATTAATCATTTTACAAAAAAAAAAAAGTGCAAGCAAAAAGGGGGGGGGGGGGGGGGGCGTACGCCCTCTATGCCCCCCTCTGGGTCCGCCACTGCTTACTGTAATGTTTACTGTAGTAAATTTTAAAAGTTAGTAGAAACAAATAAAATTACAGTTTTTTGCTAAATTACGAAATATTTTATGATAAAACACAATTTGCATAAGTTTTCAATTTATCTATTACATAAATAAGCAGAACAATAAGATATCAAGTCGACGACATGGGTGTCTATTTAGTTGGATCTAAAAAATGCATAACCTCCGGTTTTTCAAAAAAAAAAATTACCACGGATGGAGAACATATCAATCAATTTGTTCCTTAATTTTCGTTTCTGCCCTTCCATTATGTGACTCAAGAAAAAATTCCAAAAAATGGGTAACAATTGCATCGAAGAGAAAATCGAGTGCACCTTTTTATGTTAGGGCGTGTTTGAGTTGAATATTTTGTCTTGAAAACGTAAAAAGCAAAAGTATTTGATACATCATCTCGCTTCAGATTCTATCATTTTTATATATCAAGGCTACAGGTTGACTTTATAACATCGAAAATTCACAGTACTAAAAAAATGAAGTATATAGGTCAAGTGAAATACCTTTCTAATGAATCATAAAAACAGAGTAGGTGTGTTCGAATAGCAAATTTTTACTAAAAGTACTTGACGATAGACTTTTAAGTTGGATCTTAAAAATGCATATCTTCGAAAAAACTTCATTTTTTGTGTGTGATATCTAGGGTTTATAGTCTTCAACCACTGAAAATTTTTAGTCTGCCCTTCCACAAAATATTGAATTAGAATTTTTTTTAAATGTTTATGAATTTTCGAAAATTCCACCTGACAACCGATCAGACAATAGTTTTAAGTTGACTGAATGCAGACAAGAACATTAACTGATGCTCATTATCTAGTAGATACATTTGTCTTTTAAAATACAACTGGCATATAAGGATCGTAATGGTGCTATGCGGATAAATTTATCGGTTTTTAAGAGCTAAATAATTGGCAGCGCGTCATCCCTACAATGGCTTCCATTTTTACGATTGTAAAAATGAACTGGCGTAATGGGGAGATAATTTTGACGAAGTAGAATCACGACTGTATGTATGGTTAACAATTTGCAACTAGAAGTTAAGCAAGTAACAACAATCAATAAATAGCTTGAATATAATTAAAACTTGACAATTTAGTTCAGAATTAAGATGCAATGACAACATGTACCATCACAGCAATGTTAAATGACTTGTTGGTCTTAAAAATATACGTGTTTTCAATCAGACAGGGAAACATGGGTATGTTTAAACAGCAGTAGTCCACACTGCTTCTTTCGTAGAATTCCCAAGAGGTATCATTATTTTTTATAATCTGCTATCTTTTTGTAAGCTGTGTGGTGTGAATACTACAGTTAGCAAATAAGTGTGGGTATCATGTATGCAACATATGTGGTCATATCCGATTCTACCTACCTGACATTCTTTTGCAAACTCACTACTTATTGTTTTTCGAAACACTTTGGTGTATGTTTTTGTTTTAATGTAGTTTGTGTTTGCCGTCTAATTGCAATACACTCAACATATTTTTTAGTCGTATGCATTATAATTAAAAGAAATACCTGCATTTCGTGCAGGTTTAAACCACGACTAATACTGATAAAAAAGTATAACAAAAATACCGAACTCCAACGTTAATTCAAAAAGGGGGAGTCCATAAACACTGACAAAAATCAAACTTTATAGACTAAATCAACCAAAGGAACTAATGGAAAGCAACTGTCACATTCCTGACTTGGCATACAGTCTTGGACTGAATATAACGTAAATAGAACTAAATATATATTATATCTTTAAAATACAAATTAATATTGAAATAAAAATAACATTTGAAAGTCTTTACAAATACGAGACTACAATAAATTAACATTTTTACACTTGCATATGTTATCACAATGATGAAATATTATCAATAGTTTGGCGCATCAGAACACAGAATTATTCGAGATATAGTAAACACAAGCTCTCCAGGATAATAAATTAAAACAAAACAAAACACAAATATACCCGAAAAAATAATATTGAACTCTTTGATTATGTATGCATAAAATTATAATTATGCATAAAGCAGACCTTCTTTTGCATAGGCAGTAAAGAGTAAATTTTCTAACTCATATACTTTGAACAGGGAAATTTTCGGGACAGATTTATTTTTTCGCGAGTAAAATAAAATTGCGAAAATATCCCCTCTATTATATTTGATCTTAAAGGAAATAGAATTACGCGAAAATAAAACCCTACGAATAGGTTTGGTCCCAGATGTTGCGAAGTTTTACTCCGCAAAAACTTATCAAATTTTACTGAGAAATCCCATATCCTAAGTGGAAAAATTATTTTAACAATTTACTATGATTAACGAAATAATGATATGTATAGACATTTTAGACAATTTTAACTTATTGCAACTTAATTAATTTGATATTTACTGATTGCACTCTCTACTAAAAAAAAAGGTTGAGTGGAATCTAGTCTGCAAGTACCTACGACATTATGTCATATTTAGATACAGAGTGTCATTGCACAGAACACACTTCCGAACGCGAACGTTTGATATTCTGTGTCATTGTGACACCGGTTGATATTATTCGGTGAGATGGCGGTCTGCGGTTTTCTTCGATAGCACTAGTCTGTAATCTCGCAGAAAGTCTCGCGTGATCTGGTGTTCGGCACATCATGTGTCTTATGTCTTTCTTGATTAATCTCATTGAATCTGGTTCTTTTTCTGGTTTAATCTGCCTGCTTGGAAACGATTGTATTATTTCCCTGACTGGATCACAAAGTTCTAGAATTATAGTGAGAATCATTACACGGCCATCCTCACAACCAACGACAACTGTTCGGTCGTCTGCTCCTACCGATACACAAGTGGCACAGCCATGTACAAACATATGACCTTTGACAATTCCGTCGCATGTTCGCACTACAATTACTTCCCTAAAATTTGGAGTAAGACCAACAATGAAACGCCCATCTAAAACGAATTTTGGAGTACCAATGCCAAATTGCTTATCGATGGGTATAACAGACTTCGGGTTAACTATATTGAAAACATATCGGTTTTGGTCCATTATGATCATTGAATTGCGAGATAAAGTTAAGGTGTTGATGTCGGACGATGGCAAAAGAAACTCCGGAATGTGTTTAAGGATTCCTTTGTTCTTGAAATCGTATACCATTAGGCCCTTTTGAATGTATGATGGACGAACAAGGCCCTTCTCCATTTCAAAAACATATTGGTCAACCCCTTTTGCATACATAAGAACCAATTGGTTTTTCAAGTTCGTTTTGACATCTAAGAATTGGCAATCTTCTTCTGCTTCTTCCAAAACATTTTGAATCTTCAGAAAAGTGGTTTCCTCTTCCGTTCCAGATATATCCTCCAACAACAGCTGTACCTCATAATGTCTTGATCGTTCTTTCTTTGATTTTGGGTCATGAGTTTTATTACAGATTTGGACGATTGCTGTAAAATAATTTGTGCTCCCACATAGAACGATACACGGAGGTGAAACGAATTCTGTACATGGCGGGAAAGGTACAGTCCTAGTAATGCCATTTTCTGCCTGAACAACAGAGAGAGCATATGTATTGTCACTCCAGTCATAACGTGAATAATTTACTAGTGAGATAAAGACTGCATATTCACTGTCTTTAGTGAAATTCACAAACCGATTGTTACCAGAGTAATGGGTTCTTTTACTAGCTTCTAAATCCCAAACTACATCATCACGAAGTACCCGCCAAACTGTAGAACCTTCAGTCATATCTTCTGCTCTCTGGCCACGAGTTACTGCAAATCGCCCATTTGGTGACAAGATGACTTGTCTGACCTTGTCGTCCGTATTATGACTATGCTGAAGGATGTCCGTTACTTGACCATTTCGTAAACTCAGTACCTTTGCCTCTGGAACTCTTCCCTCAAATGCCACTATCTTCTGACTGACGGTGGACAGTTGTGCTCCGAAAACGTTTCCTGGAAAGATGTTATTTGAATGCAGTATATTTGAATCTATATTTTCTAGATTCCAAACTTGAAATGAATTATCGGCCAGTAAAGTCACTACTTTGTTTACAGCATTGGAAGTGTATACTCTTAGAATTGGTGATACAGAAGACTGAAGTACTCTCAAAGGATCACCCGTAACAGTATCCCAAACGGCCAGAAACGTATATCTTGATGCCACAATATACCTATCTTCCGGTGTAAACTCTGCTCCTGTGAAATTAGATGATTGTTCTACTATAACGTCCTCCGGTAGTTTATCGAACTTCCGTAATAGTTTATTGTCATGCGTATACACCAAATGAAGACATTTTGCACTTCGACAAAGCAGATATTTTTGTGTATTTGAAATGACACACTGTCGTAGTTCAAGGTCGCTGAATATGAACTTACATGTGAATTTGCGACTGACAACGTCAAACTCAATTGATTCGACGATTTTAGACTTGGTAAAAATGAAACATTTTGGTTTGTTGTTACTGAATATGATATCTTGCGGAACATCCGATGCTTGCGCCATACATTTGCGCTCCATCAATGGCATTTGATAAAGCAGAATATTCTTCTCAGAATTAAATGCTACGTAGGTCTCGTCTGGACTTACCGCAACGGCATGTGCATGAAAGCTGAAACGATGCAGAACTGACTTTGCGTCTACGTCTATTATGTATGGCCCGGTGCCTTTTTCTACACAAAATGTGATATATTTATTTGAAACTTCTATATCTGAAACACGTCCATGCCCATATACGATTTCACCATGCAGTTCACCACAATCTGATCGATATATTTTTATCATTTGGTCATTCTGAATTATGTTGAGAAATCGTCCGTCACGAGTTGGATGTATTTCTCCAAGAGGCATCATCATATCCGGCCTCGAATCGCCTCTTGATAATTCCCAAACCCTGACTCGTGAACTAAAATGAGGCTTTGCTGTTAATAAAATACCATCTGGGCTATTGAATACATCAATATCAATAGGGCAGAATACGTTTCCACCTACATCACATTCGTACTGTAAAGGTCCACCAGGAGCACTGTATATTTGGCAGTTCGGAACAAGTGGACAATGAGCTTGTGCTGCTAAATCGCACTGGTGTATAAGTTCTCTTATGTAATTGAAACGTCTAGCATGTGGAAGCAAACGACCGGTTAACTCGACCCCCAACGAGTCAACATCTGCTTGTAAGGCAGCTCCTGACATGCGTAAAGCATCAGCCACTAACGTCGTCTCTCTGTCATGAAACATATCGAAGTCGGCAAGTAAGTGTTCTAATGATGATGCTTTCAGGCGATAATAAATATAATGAAAGTTGCAAAATGTTTCTGACCGTAAATCCCCATGTCGCCCACTACACATTAAGCTAAATGGTAGTTCTGTCATTTTTCGTTTATTATATAGTCCTCGCACCTCTGACTCGCCGTAAAAATTGTGCTGAGTAGGAAGGAGCCGACAAGCTTTATCCTCTGAATTGATCATCTTCTTTTTTGCCATCAGTTTTGATGGATATGTACAAGGTTTCCTAGAAGATCCTCCCCATTTGCCTAGGAAATAATCTGCGATGGTGGAATGCAGCTTCTCTTCTTCATTTGTAACGTAACGACCATGTGCTACTTTCTTGAAGCAAGGATATTTCCAACATAGAACACGAATACTGTCGCTTTCTTTTTCTAGTAGGTAAGGTTCAAAATACTGTCGTATAACACTTACCAGATAAGCCGGATAACGCCTTACTTTCGGATGCCAACTACAGAACACGTGATTCAAATTGTCTTCATCGGTCGATAGAATATCAACCAGTTCGGATTCTGATAAACCGTCTCTTGAGGCAGTTAAATATCCGAGGACTCCGGACAAAATATGTTTTCCGAATTTTCTTTCTGCTCTGTAAAAAATATTATCAATAACGTCGTCAACGCTGTTTCCAAGAATTTGAGTTTCCGTATCATCATACGAATGCCATAAGGAAACTTCATCGAAAACTATTTTAACAAATAATGGTAGTGTACAGTTTTGGAATGCATTTTGAACTAGCTTCCACTGGTCATAAGAGACACTTCGCCGTTCTTTGTTCATCATCACTTTCATGACATTTTCACAATCCGTATTTGATAATGGTGTAATATCTACGATGTTGTCTGGGCATTTGTGTACGAGTCTTGTCAAGCATTCCTTACATTCAGAATTTACCGAAACTACAATTTTTACATTAACTGCAACTCTTGATGGAAGCCATTCTAACTTGTGTCCATTTTCAAACGTTGACAACAAGTCAAGAGAATCGATTAGAATTATAAGCATCCCACCAAATTCTCCTCTTTGAACCATTTCAATAAAATAAAGTTTTAATGCTTTGAAGTCTTTTGGCACATCATGACGATACTTGCCCATTACAAAGGCAAGTTGGTTACACAATGAATAAAGCAGCTCCTGTGCAGTAACGGCATTTTGTGTTTGACCTACGAACCGGAACACCAAAGCTGTTCTCATTGCAAGATCGTCATTCTTTATTGCTATATTTACATCTGATGCAATCTTTGCAATAATCGCTGATTTTCCTGAGCCTGACTCACCTGTTATTACTAATGGCTGATCAGTTTCAGAAAGAAGATATTCTTTAACCTTGCTAAGAATATTGTCTCTGCCTACGAAAGGCTGTGAGGAATTTAAGGACGCATGCCAATGTTGAACAACTTCTCGGTATAAATTGTCACTGTGGAGGGTATTTTGATTTTTAACGGCATAATCTATTAATTTTTTGACTGAACTGTGCAAATATCGACATACATTTTGTGTATATTCATCTACGTTTTTGTAGTGTATCCCATTCGTACTAAATTCAACAAAATTTTCACTGCAGTTATTTGTATCTAGATTTCCCAGAACTTCTTTTCTAAGTGAATTGGCAGCAATTTCGGCGTTTATATCCTGTTCGTTATTGCAAGGAAGAATATCTAAGAATTTCTGTCTTTTTGAAGACGTCAACAAATCATCCATATTTGACACAAGCCTACTAAAAAACAAGCATTTATCGTCTCTGTCTGATTGATTCAGAATGCCTTGCTGGATTTCCTGGTGAATTTCTAAAAATAAATGAATATGCATTTAATGTAGTTTGCTTTTAATATATACTTACATAGAATGCGTGCTCAGTTCAAACATGGCGGGTACCACTACCGTAAGTGAGTAGGATATGCTAACCCTTCCGGAGCACCTGAGATCACCCTCAGTTTTTGGTTGTGTTCGTGTTGCTCGGTCTTTAGTTTTCTATGTAGTGTTTTGTGGACTTGTTTGTCTTTCGTCGTTCGTTTTTATTGCCATGGGGTTGTCAGTTTGACTTATGAGTTTTTTATTGCCATGGGGTTGTCAGTTTGACTTATGAGTTTTTTATTGCCATGGGGTTGCCAGTTTCGAGTTTCGAATGTCCTCTTGGTATCTTCCGGCTCTTTTTTCCTTCTACATTTTAAATCTTAATTTCAGGTGCAATAATTATATAAACATACACAATGGCGTTTAATTGTCTAGTTGTTTTTTATATTGCCTTTCTCCATCAGCATAAACAACATGTTATAAATAAACAACATGTAATACATTGGTATGGTTATTTTTGTGCATTTTTGTTTTGTTTTATTGACTTCCAACAATATTGTAACAAACGTACAATACAAATTTCATGTGTCTTGAATAACATTCGATAGGTTTTCCCCGAGATCCGAAGCTTTGTGTCAACGAAATGTTTGAGAGCACAAAGCCAAAAGATCCATAGAATTTTAGCCAAAAATCTTAACTCTGACAGAGAATTGCAAATTTAGATTCATAGTTTAATTACTGTGACTTGACTGTTAGTGTTGCTCTCCACCTATTGCAACTTATTCAAAATTATGACCAAATATTTGTTTGATAAAACCAAACTGTTCAACTGGTCAAAAATTTGAACAAACTGCTGTAGAAAATCACAGTCAAGTCGTGATAGTGCAAAGTGATAAAATAAAGCATACGTAAAATCCCATAAGACTTTAATTCCACTTCAATGTTATTATGAAAAATCAGTCTAACAGTTTGTATAGAAATTTTATTGTTACTGTCATGCTAAAGGTGATGGATAGAAATTTTGAATTGCTATAAAATGTCTTCTATATTCATAAGAATCAGACATCATTTGAATTAAAACATTTTATATTCAGTAAAATATATGTAAAATATATGTAAAATTACAATATGTTGTTAATAAGTTTCCATGGGAGATAACCTAAAACATAATTCTTTTGAATATAGAAGACTTTTCGAAAGAAAAATTGAATATCTCCCATGGAAAATTCCTAACAACGTATTGTAATTTCACACATATTTTACTGAATATAAAATATTTTAATTCAAATGATGTCTGATTCTTATGAATATAGAAGACTTTTCGAAAGAAAAATTGTATGAAACCTTAGTTTGGACATTTTTATAGCAATTCAAAATTTCTATCTATCACCTTTAGCATGACAATAACAATAAAGTTTCTATACAAACTGTTACACTGATTTTTCATTATAACATTGAAGTGGAATTAAAGTCTTATAGGATTTTAAGTATGCTTTGTTGTATCACCTTGCACTTTCACGACTTGACTGTGGTTTTTCTACAGCAGTTTGTTCAAATTTCTGACCAGTTGAACAGTTTGGTTTTATAAAACAAATTGCAATTTGGTCAGAATTTTGAATAAGTTGCAATAGGTTGAGAGCAACACTTACAGTCAAGTCACAGTAATAACCAGAAAATATACAATGAAAATGCATAGTTTCAATAATTCAATTTTGAAAGCACTGGCACAGTCAGGTGCGGGGATATTTTAAAGTGCTTCATATATTCATGAAAAACTGTAAATGAAAAAAAGTGTAAAACAATAATTTGATTTATCATTTTAAACACTTACCACTAGATGTATATTTCAGAAACTTTTCCTTGCTAATTTTGTTACTTTCCAAACACGTTCTCGCAGCGTCTTCCAATATTTCCTGAACAGTTTTCTGTGTATCTTTCCACATTTTTAACGATGGATCTTTAAATGAAAAAAACATGTGTAATTTGTTTGCTTATCTATTGAACAATCTTCAGTGTTCTTTTTCTGTTACATTTGCTTGATGTTGGCTTGGATATACTATTTTTAGTGTTTATTCGTAAACCTTTATTTGATGTTTGTGGGGACATTTTTGGTTGTTGTTTATTTGTATATCTTATTGTTTTTTATGTGCATATCTTTGTCTCTTATTTCTGTGTATGTCTTTGTTTATTCAAACATCTGTCTTTTTAGTTGTTTATTCTTGACTATCCTGCATGTTCATTTTGACATCTGCTTTTATGTTTATATACATTAGTTTCATAATCTCCTCATTGGTCCTGACGAAAGCAAAACCTTAATATACAAATGACCATCACCTTTGTCGGTACTAGGACGTTGAAGTCGATACACTGCTGGATTTGTGTTTGTATCCTTTTCATAGATCACGTCTAATAACGCGATGTTTTCCTCTTCCATCAACGACTCCTTCAGCAGCTCAAATTCTTCTTCCTCTATTGTTTCTGGTGGTGTAAATCGTTTATATTTCTGTCCTAATATTGCCTTTTAAAAGAAAATATACGTATGAAACATTCAGCTTTCTTTGCATTATTCATAAACAAAGATGTTTTTTTTATGTCATTGGTTTGTTCTCGTATGATCGCATTTAGTCATTGTTCTAGTTTTCCATGCACAGTTGGTAAATATCATATAAATAAAAATTTCTATTGGGCGGGTTCCAACAAGTTTTATTCTACTTTTTTATCGAATGTTTGAAACAATTATATATATATATATATATATATATAAAGTATATTTTCTTCTCATTTCTACGCAAGTACTTGAGACTGATTGATTAAAATCGATTTATAACATACCACAATACATGGGCCCAAAGAATGTGTTTGACAGTGTCGGAGCTCCTTTAGACATGTTTCTGTAGAAGGCCATCCATTTTCTGAATAGTCCATACCCCACCTCATATCAATTGCCTGCAATAGCAACGAAATAATTAAGAAACTGCAAACTTAATCTTTATTGTTATGTGTATAATTATATATATAGTTTTATTATTTTTATGTATATATGACTGTTTTTTTAGACATGTACAAACAAAATTTTATGTTGACAACAAATCTGTTAAATATCAGAAAAATTCAAGAAGTGCAAGTGTGCGCTATTTCATTGGTTTATTCCGTGTGGTTTTGTTTTTCTTTTGATGCGCAAAGACATCTTGAACACCAAACTCGTATACAATGTATTGCAGGGATTGCAAATTTAGTACACTATATTGGATTTTTTTCTGTAGTTTTTAATTTCGATTGTTTCATAATTTTATACTGATTTCATATGTAAATTTTATTGGACGAAGTTTTGCTTTGTCTGGAAGCATTTCATGAAAATCTACCATTTGCTATCGCTAATAATAGCTGTCTTGATAGTTACGACAGCCCACGATTAACAAAATAAAAGGAATTTAGGTTTAACGATGATGAGATAGAACACGGCATATCATCCATTGAGCACATGGCTCCAACTCTACAAACTTACATGGAAATCTAGCCCATGTGTTTCTTTACAGTAGTTTCTCAGAGCAGGGTACACATCCTCAACGAAAGCATCTCTTTCAACCTCCGAATCTAAAGAAGGAAGAGAAATAGTTTAAGGTACATGTATAACAAGACATGTCGTCTATCATTTTGCATTAAAATGTTGAACGATTCACGTTTTTTTTTACTTTGAGTGAATCAGATTTAATAAGGTATTAGGATAAAGACACTGTCCTAAGTTTAAGTTGCTTTATGTGATTTGACCAAAAGAGATTTTTGTTTGCCTTTACAGTTAAAGGCTTATACAATGATATAAACATAAAAAGATGTGGAATGATTGCCAATGAGACAACTCTCCACCACAGACTAAATGACGTCGAACTAATGTACACCATACCTGTTCCCGCAGAGCAGATGTATATTTTGATCTCCTTAGACCTAATGTGTGGGATATCTTCTGCTGGAATCCCACCAAACAATATCTGTTTAGTATGAGATCGTTCTGTATCCATCAGGTCTTTATACCGAAGAGGTACTTCCATCTCTCGTCGGACCTCATCGGTCTCGTCCTGGTCGATTACGTCATCTAAATGACGTAGTCTGAAGGGGTTTACTGGACCTGAAAAAGTAAAAAAGTAGGAACTTTACGAGCAACAGCTAGTTGGATCGCGGTCCACTATACAACCAATACTATTTTTGTCTCGCCTTGTTAAGTTTTCTGCTTAAGTTAGTTTGATAGAAACTACTTGTGATAGATCATTGATATTTAATATAAAGTTCCATTACTATCAGTACATGTATATCAGTTTGACGACTATTTTGAGGCACTGTGACCTAGGTCATGGTCCAGCAACTTTGAATTGATTAGCAATTTTCAATGTTAAGTTTTCTGCTTAAGTTAGTTTGATAGGAAATACTTGTGATATATCATTGATATTTAATATAAAGTTGCACTACTATCGGTACATATCAGTTTGCCGACTATTTCGAGGCCCTCCCCTAGGTCATGGTCCAGTGACTCTGAATTAATTAGCAATTTTCAATGTTAAGTTTTCTGCTTAAGTTAGTTTGATATAGGATCTACTTGTGATAGATCAATGATATAGTGTATGAAGTTGCATTACTATCAGTACATATTAGTGATAGATCAATGCTATTTTGTATGAAGTTGCATTACTATCAGTACATATATGTTTGACGATTATTTTCAGGCCGTGCCTACTAGATAATGGTCCAGCGACTGAATTAATAAATCATGTTGCTGTTCATCAGATAGTCTTTTTCTGAATGTTATGCCGACAGGCGAGACATATCTCTGTGTAAACAGTTTATTTTTTTTGGAGCATTTGCTTTTTTTGTAGCATTTGCATGTAAGTGGGATTCCAAGAGTCAACTTTAATGCAACACAGTGCCGTATTTTAATATGATGATCGGATCTTCCTCTTTATGAAGAAGAAGAGAACTGAAGCTGGCTTGAATATAGTCAAATTCAGGAATGGAAGTAATGTGCATGTTGAACGGCTTAATCAATATTCACTACTGGTTTGGGAAATCGTCCAAACTGAATTCACGTCCAGTGCTCGATATAACAAACATGTTTAGGGCGACACTTAAAGTGATATTCATTGTACTTTTTCCAAGCCAATAAACCCTCCGTTCTAATGTAATATCATAACCTGATGGTTTTTTTTACTACAAATTATAACGGCAAGGTATTATTAGTCAACTCATTCGTATTGTAAAAATGAACTGATTTATAGGCAAGGTCTGCAACATGTAATTATACTAGCGATATCAATAAATATATATCTATTATAATTTAATATAATGATTTTTTAAAGAAAAAATATTTATGACAGTCTCACCTTTAAGTGTCATAGTCCACAATTTACCGCTTCATATTGTTGTTGATGAATGGGAAAAAATAAGTCCTGTCATTCCGGCTTTTAATTTAAATTTAACTGCATTTACATGTTATTGCTAAGCATATTAATTGTATATAAAGATTAAACTTTTTGAGTTTCTTCTTTTGTTCGCATAATACGTTTTGGATTAAAACATTCATAAAATTTTAATCTTTAAGTTATGGTTTAAAATGGACCAAAAGATTATAAAATCTAAGTGTTGAAAGAATTTTATTGATTCATAATAGACGGATCGAAAAAGTCGAACTTGTAGATTTTATTTGACGAGCAAAGGGCTTATAAATCAAAACTTTAAGGCTGTAAAAGAATTTAATAAACTTCTGCATGAATGACAAATGATTTGTTGTTTTGTTTGTTGTGTCTGTGTTTGTGTTTGTGTTTCTTTGTTTGATTTTTTATAAAGATAAGCGTAGCATTTTAAATGGAAAAGGATGACACTTTGTAACAGTAATATAATTATCATTTTGACAATTACTCTCCTTTTCCTCGATCACTGGATCCACTCCTGTGGCCCTTTTCACAAAAAATCTTACGGCGAAAATTGATTATAAGTTTAATACTGAAATGTTCATGACTTACGAGTGTTTTTACTAAAAATATTTATCATTTTCTGTTTTATATCTCCTAACATCATTCCATTTTTCTCTAATTTCGATTAAAATATGCCAAAACCTGCAGTAAAAATAGATGTATGCCCCAAATAAACATTCCCCGATTGGTTGAACTACTATGGCGTCGATGTAAAGCAAGGCAAGCCTCGGTGTAAAGCAACGCAAGCCTCGATGTAAAGCACACGCTTCCCAAGAGTAAGGAGAGTTGTACAAATAATGTGAATTCACAGACCCCCGATCCAATTTATCTTTTGCTAAAAGTTTTCATCATTTTCTGTTTTGTATCTACCAACAACATTCCATTTTTCTATAATCCCGATTTAAACATGTCGAAACCTGCAGTAAAAATAGATGTATGCCCCAAGTAAACATTCCCCGATTGGTTGAAAAGCTGTGGCCTCGATCTAAAGCAACGCAAGCACACGCAAAAATTTCCGTTGACATGTTGAACTTCGACCCCGGGATTCAGCCGAGGTAACCTTCAGCCGATTCACATAGAGATTTTCTTGCGCTCAAATGTAATTCTAAGTGAAGTATACTGGTAAAGTAAAATTACATTCTTTTACAGAAGTATTTACACATTTTATCATTAATGTATTGTCATGCTACTGCATATTTACGCTGAGCTTTAGTTAAATATAATTCTATACAAATTTTGTTACGTCAAGCATTAACAGTAAGAATATATTTCGCGCTAAAACAAGAAAATAATCTGTATCACAAAATAAGTTTATCAGCATCTTTCTGAAATTTTCCAACAGAAAATAGCGTTAATTATAGAGAAATTTTGGTGAGTATTACTTATTAATGTTAAGGTTCTCCAGAGGTGGTTCTCTACACCTTCTTGGCGGTCAATTTAATCCCATTTATCAATTATCCCCGATGGCGATGACACCCAGTCGATTTGTGTCATGAGCGAAAATCTTATCTATTTGATGAAATAACTTCTTCATTAACTGTACATGCAATATTTTTGTAGTTTTTGATAACCGTGCACATTCCCATTACATGTCCGCAAGATAAATAGGTTATGCATTTGTGAATTGTCGGTCAGTGCGTGATCACGTGACATTATTATTTGTAAACAAACGGGCTCCCCATGTAACACGTGTCGGAACTATCCATACAAGGTGCAATCAATCTTATATTTCACTATTTGATGATATTTCTGTGTCTGTTTGTAGGTTTTGCAGATAAGATGTCATAGTGTAGTTTCATAGACAAAAAGTACCATGATTGTTCCTGTTCAGTAGTTGTGATTTTTTTTTATAGAATTAGAAGGTAAGTCTACATAAAATTTGCTGTTACAAAATTTTGGAAATTATTTAAAATTAAGGAATGTATCTCCCTCATGCAAAGCTCTGATTCCTTGCCCAGCTTTGGCTATACTTTTTGTCCTTTTTGGTTTATTGCTCTTCATGTTTTTAATAAGCTTTAGATTTTCAAATATTTTAGCCTTGAGCATCACTGAAGAGACATTGATTGTATATATAGAAAATATTTACACCTTGGTCCAAATAAAATATTCTAATTTATTGACACTTGATGTAATGAGATTCATTGTGAACTTTGTGTCTCTATTTTATTCTAAAAGCTTAAATGTTGAACACTTGATCTGACTTCTTATACCATAATAACTATTCATCATAAAAACTAGCGTCACTCTGCCTGAAATTGTATAGGAAAGATCCCCTAAGAGAGGTCGTAACATTCAGCGATCTGTAATTTAATTCTGCGTCTGAAGTATATTATTAACTTAATTATAAATATATATAATTTTTCAACATTAGTTTTCAAAACTAATGTTTTAAAAAATTGAAATCAGATATAAATAACGACGTTTCTGTTTTGAGTAATTAGCTGCTGAGACTTGTAGAAATGCACAATCAATATATTTATGTATCCATGAATCGACTGAATTTCAGTCCGAGAGAATGATGTGACATAAACTGCATGATAACAATTAATATTGGAAGCAATTATTCTAGTTTTCTATGTAGTGTTTTGTGGACATTTTCTTCTTTTCGTCGTTTTTTTCGGTTTTTGTTTTGCCACGGCAATGTCAGTTTATCTTCGACTCGAGTTTTGAATGTCCACTTGGTATCTTCCGTCTCAGTTTTCTTTTCTCCTGGTTCATGCGGGCGAGGCCAAAAGCATCCAAGCCATAATTGGATGAGACAATTATCTCTCATGTATTGACCTCTACGTGTCCTCTTTTGTTTCATTGTGTTGGGTTGTTGTTCCATCGCAACCTGCACCCTCTTTATTCATATTTATATTTCGTTATCTTGTCAGTTCTTGTTCAATATAAGAATTTTTGACAATGGCAGAATATATACTAGTAGATGAATACCATTTGAAATTATATATATAACATTTGACAATGCATCTTTGTATACTGAATGCTGCTTTGGGTTTATGGATGTACCTTATTGAGTTGATGTATAATGTCCTATAACAATGGTAAGATATATGGTATACAATTTCAGTATACATAATTCATCATCAATCAATTGACGTGATTCTCAGGTATTGACATCTGTGCTACTTGATATATTTCTATAGTGAACTTCCAATGTTCAAGTTATTTTGTTTAATGAAGCCAAACTGGTTAACACAATATTTGTAGGACATATGTAGTACCTGCCTGCTATGAATTGAAAATTTGGAAAAGACGTTACTAAGCTGAAAAACTTGTGTCTAATTCGTTTGTCCTTTTTTAACAATAAAATATGTTTAAACTAATTATGAATTGAAGTAGCAAGACTGAACAGGGTTTGGTAAATGAAAGAGATAACGGTAATCATCTTCATTTGCAGGCGCCGATCCTGGATTTTTGAAAGGGGGTCGTACTTCTTAAAAACCGAAAATATACTGCCGAGCGGAACGAGGCGAAATCATTTTGGACGATTTTATGTCGAAAAATTATAATTTTACCGATAAAAAAGGGGTGCACGCCCTCTACAGCAACCCCCTGAATCCGCCACTGATTTGTATTGATTTCTCTTGGTCAAACTAGTAAGTGAGCTGAAAAATTTAAATCTCGAGATGTTAATCTGCACTGGCTATTCTGGGAGATTTAC